TCCGGCTGTTGGGAAGGGGCTATGTAGCTGATAAAAAGGAGTGAAGCTGGGAGAAGAAAGGAGATGACCATGCTGCAGTAAACAGTAGACCATGTACCTTTTGGGGACCCAGCCGGCTGGGGGAAGACGCTGACTGACTCAGGGTTGACAACCAATGACCTGACTTACTAGTGCTCTGACAATCTGCTTATGCTTTATCTATTTCATTGCAAGAGGAGAGTCTCTGTTCTCTGATCTCTGTTCTCTGTTCCCTAACGACAAGATTATCTGTTTAAATACTACTCTATTGAGAATAACTGTAATATTAAATGATCCTTTGAATTGTAATGGTTTGTCTGAATTAATTTAGTCGGTATCACACTCTTGCCACGACAGAAGCATTATTGATCTTTGTAGCAGGAAGCAAAGGAGTTTATGGGAAAACTTGTTTTAATTTTTAGAGACACTAGAAGAAAACTATTTACCAAAATAAATATTAATGTATCACAATTCATTTAACTCTGGTTTAAGGGTCTATAAAATGCTGCATATGGGACCTTAAATTATGCTGTTTTAATAATAATAATAATCAGATTTCTATTTCCTTGTTTATAGTTAATGTTTTGTGAAATGGACAATAGCGATGTAAATATCTGCTATAAAAATATGGATTTATTTGCTGTATCAGTTGTTGGCACTGTCCATCCCGAGGTCAACAGTGTTATAGAAGTGAAATTACATCTTGTTTTATATACAGTACAAATAATGTGCAGTATGTATTTGTGAAATAACCACAAATAATCCAGTGTGGTTTGTTATGAGTTGCTTTTTTACAGGTGACAAATAGATAATATTAGACCGAACTGACCTCCCACAGTGTTAATGTTAAGGCCTGGAACAAGGAAGGGAAATCATTTTTGGAAAGAGGTTATATTAGTATGTTTAATGTTATGTGCTTTCCCGCTCTCCTTACTTGGCTTCCCTCAGTAAATACTTGTTCTGTGTCATAACAAAATCATGCTGCCATTCACACCAGAGTTTTTGAAAAATACATAATACTGATTTTTAAAATGTATTGGCAAAAATGTTAACTTTATATATGTCATAAAAATTTGATGTCATAACTGAGTCATTGTTGATAAGAATAATTTAGTGGTTAATTTATTCTTAGACTAGGCCGCTCATAAATACAGTAATAAACTGTTATCTGGTGCCAGTTGTGAATCATACTGTAATAAGTAAGTGCTCTAGAATAAATCTGACTTTTTGTAAAGCTCAAATATGGTAGTTCAACGTAAAGTGAGCATTTCCATTACCACTGTTAGTATGTCCCACAAGTTGCTGTGAAACACCATTAGCGGAGGATGGGTTCAATCCATCGACCTCTGGCTTATGGGTCCAGCACGCTCCTGCTGCAGCACTTTGCTTCCCTTCTGTCTATGAAAACCCTGACCCAGAAGCAAACTTGGTCAGCTCTGTAGAAGAAGCTTTAGTGCACAGGCAGCTGAAAAGAGCAGCATTTCAGACAAATATTGGTGAATCCCAATTCCCCTAATTGGATCCACGTTCCCCTCACTTGTCTTTTTCTTGCGTCTTAGTTCCATCCACGTGAGAAGTGACTGACAGGGTCTCTACATCAGCGGCATCTGGTTAGCTCAAAATAGAGTCAAAGCTGTGAACAATTTATCAGAGAAAGTAATAGTTTCTTTTCTTAAAAAGAAGCCCAGGGGAATGGATGTTGTATCTGTCCGTTTTATTTGTCACTGTGAGGAAAGATGTGAAACTAAAATGTGAATAATCTCAGAATGAATTTATCAAACACACGGTGGCTTTAAAAAAGTGCACTGTTGTAAGAGCTTAGTTATCCAGTACTTTCCTTCACTATCATGGGGTATAGTCATAAATTAACAGGAACAACCCTGACTGGACTGAAAAGGCTGAGTAATCTAATCACGCAGATACAAGATGAGGCATAAAACACACAGATAAGTTCTAAGTCTTTAAGACAATTTAGAAAAAGGTGGATAAATTACTGTGTACTGCAGTTGTGTGTTTATTAATGATGAAGTCTGATTTGTTTAGTTGTGTTGATGTATAGAGTGCCATATATACCTGTAAGTGAAACTGACCTTGACAGGTGGTATGGCGGTTACAGTTTTACAAATGTGCTCAAAGGCAGAAGGTGATACTTTAAAAAGCTACAGCAATACTCACAAAATCACTGAACTAACTCACTCTGTAAATGTTAAAACATAATAGATGGTCACCTCTGACTTCTGCAACTTGTCTTCACTTCTGTGTTTACATGTTTAGCTTGGAACTTTGTCCTCCCCCATCATAACGCTGTCTGGTTTTATATCTATATCTAGATTTCTCTTAAAGGTCATAAGGCACAGCAGACAGTGGAGCCAGAACATAGACAGCAACTGTCTCACCCTCAGACACCCAAGAGAGGCTCTTTGTTGTAGATTTTAAAATAAAATCTTACCGTCATCTGTTTGTTGCAGTGTACAGCAGTCATAACTTTTCATTTGGTATCACTTGGAGACACTGGGATTTGATTTGAAAAACTTTTCAGCAGGCTTGAAGCAGATTTGAAGCCCGTGGACCACTGGACATAGGCTGAATTCATTAATCCTAACAGGAGCGTGCTGTCATATGGTTTCTTTTTTCATTATAACCCTGATCAGAGAGAGATTTGCATTTGGATCTGTTTCAGCTAAACTGACAAGACAAAAGACATCCTGACATTGCAGTAAAGTTGCATTGTTCATCTCAGGGTGTAAGCAGGTTCAACGTTTTTTTGTAAAAGCCACTGACCTTTGGAGTTTGGAAGAAAAAAATCTGCGGGACCACGCAAGGTAATTATTTTATTTCCATGTGAACAGTTCAGTACCAGAAGGATCTTGAAATAACACAAAAAATTTAAAATTGTGCTCTTTTCAAAACAAAATTATATCTCTGTAAAAGTTATGTTTTTACCAGTGTTTCTTAGCTTGTTGGTTTGTTCACAGCAAAACTCAAAAAGTAAATAATTGATTTTGATGAAAATGTCTGGAGAGGTAGAACACGGTAAAACACATAACCATCCATTAGATTTTGGTGCTGATCTGGATCATCATCTGGACCCAAGAATTTTTTTAAATGATTCTTCACCACTGTGACATAGGGCCAATTTCAATATTTTTGCTTCCAGCTCCATACACAGTGTCTAGAATGCGTCGATAAAAACTGCATGGTAGCACCCACATAAAGATATAGCACACAGCAAAGTTTGATCTGGATCCAAGAAATTTTCTGAATCTGCTCATCCAGAATGTTCAAACTAGGGCTCGTGGAAAGCTCGCTACTGTGAGAAAATAAATAATGCTACAACACCAAACTGTATCTGAAACTTCTGATTCAGTAGAGGATAAACAGATTTGACATGTCTTCTAAAATTCTTGACCTAGCTTCTGAAGAAAATCACCATTAATTAAATACTGTTTTTCTTGAACAACTTTCAAGCTAATAATAATATCAACGTGATTCCAATGCCAGGGGTAGGTTTTCAAGGAATTATATTATGAGAGTTAAATTATCATGGGAATATTGCTTTTAGGTGGAATGGCATTATGGCGAAAATGATCTGCCTTGGCGAAGGTTTGCTCTCTCTGAGTGCTGAAGAAAGTGTTTGTTTATGTTACAGCTAGTACTAGCCATGGCAGAGAGGACACAGACGGGCTACAACATCTGCAGGGAGATCCTGGATGAAGGAACTGTGGATGAGATGGCAGAAAGGACTAATTCAAAAACTGAGAAGGTCAAGAAGTCACTGAGGTGAAGTTCCCAACATTTAGTCCACTGTGCATCTCACTAAATCTCTAATACATTCAGAAAATTTCTTTTTTGTATCATTAATCATCCACACACCTAGTGTTCATAATTTAACTGCCACTTGCTATCAGAAAAAAATTGTCTCCATATTTAACGTAATGTAATGTGTTCAACTTCTATAATTTAGTTCAAGTTGGAACTCCTGGCCTGTGATGACATAAACCAAATTAAAAGAACAGCTTTCATCAACTTGTGCAATAAGTCCTGATTCTGCTACCTTTAATGCTTAAGTTCTGCTCAGGTATGGATGTCAAAAGGTCAAAGGTGAAAAGGCCTTGTGAAATATTCCTGAAAATAATCAAAAAATGTCATCTCCTGTTTACAAAATGAGCATACACACAGTCAAATAAATAAAAGTATCTTCATAATGTCCCAAAATGCATTACATATAATGAGAGAAGCTCAGATACACACAGATAGAATCAAAACATTCATGTCTGAGACCAAAAGATGCAGGTCATTTGAGTTCTTTAATGATTACATGGGGGTTTTGACTCAGGAATGCACTGAATGCTGACATACAGTTCACAGGCTGAGAGGACAAAACATCACTTATTAACAGTTTAGATAGTTGTAAGGAAATTAAGTAATCAAACATCCACCTGACCTAAGGAGGATGGAGGTCAGATTTGACACAGCTCATTTCCTGAAAGCACATTTTAAAAAACATTCCCCTCTTGATCTTTTCTCTCGGTCTGACGCACATTCTCAGGTGTTCTGGTTCCCAGCTGAAGAGCTGCCTACTGGGTAGTGTTCCTGTACTGTCATGGCTGCCTCGTTACCCCATCAGAGAAAATGGCCTGGGTGACCTGGTCTCTGGAATCAGTGTGGGGATCATGCAACTTCCACAGGGTGAGGACGGAGGTTGACAAGATAGAGATGCACTGAGGGGGCGAAGGGTAGAAGAGATAAAGGAAGGGGTGCTGGTTTCATTCATTTTGAATGGCCATCTGCAGGTTGTGCATTGCTGAGGTGTTTCCCCACCACATTACCCTACTACTCAATATCTTCTGTGTTTTAGCTCCTTCCCAGTATTGTAGGAGATCATATTGATCCTGTGTTACCCCTGCAGGTATGGCCTATGCCCTGCTGGCATCTGTTCCTCCGGTCTATGGCCTTTTCTCCTCCTTCTACCCTGTCCTCATCTACTTCATCTTTGGCACATCCAAGCACATCTCAATAGGTTTGTACTTTAACACTTGCTGTATCTGCAAACATTGACAAGTTAATTCACTGTCAGGCATGTGATTAGTACTTCAAGAAGAACAGGTTATACAGCAGGCTTAATTACAGACTGAAATAATCATAGTTTGGGTTTTAAGCATATTGTAGATGTACAGTTTATTATGTTTAGCTGAAGCTGAAGCCCCATCTGTCATAAGAAAAAACTGAGAGAACGAATATTAGAATATCCAGTATGCTGTCATATAAACAGCAAAATCTGTTTTTTCTTGTCTCCCTTTTCCAGGAACATTTGCGGTGATGAGTGTGATGATTGGTGGAGTGACAGAGCGACTAGCCCCAGAGTCAAACTTCATGATATGGAATAATGTGAGCAACTCCAGCATAGTTGACACCATCTCCCGGGATGCAGAGAGGGTCCGAGTGGCTGCAGCCCTCACCTTTCTATCTGGGTTATTTCAGGTAATATTAGAGTAGACTGAACGCTTTACAGTTAAACATTAGAAAGAAGTGCATGGTAATGTGGCCAGTAGTTGCTTTGGATGGACAGGCAGCTGACATCACTGTCAAGGGGCGTCTGCAGCTAAATGTGAAAAATATCAATGAATAAAGTGAAATACTGTGCAAATACCTGAAACTTACAACCCCAAATCAGAAAAAGTTGTGTACGTTACATTGAAAACAAGACAGCAGCACTTGATTTGATGTGATACCTCGTCAATTTTATTTTTTGTTCAAAATAAACACTCACTTCAATTCTGATGCCTGCAACATGAAATGGGACGGTAAAGCATTTACTGGGGTTGCACATTGCCAGCAATGATTTCCATTACAACACAACCATAAAATTAACAACAGGTTAATTAATAACAGCTAGTTGTTGTACAACATTATAGCTCCACAAAGAAAGATGTCTGTGCCCAAATACACCTGCGTATTTTTAGTCACAGTATATAAGTCATTTTTTAAAAAATTACAATTGGACCTTTTGGCCTGGATTGTGGAAGAGCCAAGATTTTCTTACCTGAAGTTCACAGAGTAGTAATTGGCTTATATGGGGTTAAAAGTTAAGAAAATTCAGTATACTGTAGCATGCAGCAGCTCCCCTTTATGATATTAAATGAAACAGAAACTCATTAAGTGCTTGTTGACATGTACTGGCAGGCATTAAACAGTCAACGACACCCAACTCACTCACTACGGTGAAACATTAGAAACCCATGAGTGTCAAACAGAAATTGGTTTCCTCATCATTAAAACAAGTATTTTGTAGATTTGCAGCTACTGTGTGAGTGCATGGTTGTTGTGAACTTCCAAATTTTTCTCAATCTGTGTTACATTTGCAGATTTTGCTTGGTCTGATCCAATTTGGTTTTGTGGTGACCTACCTGTCTGAGCCACTGGTCCGAGGTTACACCACAGCGGCGGCCATCCACGTCATAGTGTCCCAGCTTAAATATGCCTTTGGCGTCAGACCTCACAGACACAGTGGACCATTCTCCTTGATATTTGTAAGAAAGAGCACAGGTTATCAACATCTGCTCACCTCTACAAATTTTGTTCCATATTACAAAGTAAGGTTGCAACTGTTGATTATTGATTAGTCTGTTTTGATGAAGTGTTTAAGAATTAAAATGTCAAAAAAAATGCTTAGCGTTAGTTATGAAACACCAAGGTAACATTATGTGACTGTCATGGTCAGCTCCTGCCTTGCTTTCTTATTTTGAAAGAAACTTCATGGTTTCCACCTCCTCACCTTCTGCAGCTTTGCTACTGCCAGTCAGTGGCTGATTCTGAACCTGGCTAATTCCACTCACCTGTTGTTTGTGGACTCCACCCTACAGTTAGAGCCTTGTTTTTCTGCTCTACTTGCTAGATTGTCATCACGTATCACGAGCCCTGCATTCTGCCTGTCTGTTCTTTGTCACTAAGCCTGTTACCTGCCTGGCTTCCTGGTTTCACCTGTGCTACATTTAGCTGCATGAGGTGCCATTCTGCCATTTCCTGTTACCTAACCCCTGCCTAGCTCCAATCTGATCTATACGCTGCCTGACCCTGACTCTCTGGCTGCCTAGCACCTGCCGCTTGCCTGGCTGCAGTGGGGTTTTTTTTCAGCCATCTGTTCACCAGATCTCTTTTCTGCCTGCTTCAACTCTCCTCCAGCATTACCCTTATAACACTGTAAGGCACCTGAGAACTAACTTAGAACTGTCTTTTTGGTTTTGCTCTCTTTTTCCTGACAACCTGTTTTGGTTGATTTGTTTTTGGAATTCAGTAACCAAGTTGATTTTTTTTTTTTTTTATTTAATTTTTGCACAGCATTTGGTGACTGACTTTGTGTGAAGTATTAGTGCCTATGCACAATATTTGTTCTAGTCAACCTGGCCAGCTGTGTTGTTGCAGTCTTGTTTTTTCCGCGTGGAGTTGGTTTATCGGCCAACTAGATTTTTGCAGTTACGCTTTCCCAGTCCTGTCTCACTGGAGGTCACCATCTCTGGGGTATGCGTGTTCTCACAGTCTCCAGGAAGCTAAGCAGAGCTGAGCCTGGTCAGTACCTGTAGGGGAAACTGCCTGCAGAGACCTTTGACCCATGGACCTGAGTATAGCCTCCCCTGGTGATCAAGAGATGGCTCTTCAGCCTTACTTGCACACCCCAGCCATCTTCCCTGTTTGCAGCTAAATAAAGCAACTAGTTAAAACTACCATTGATTAATTTTGGGTTAGTCTATACAATGATTAACAGTTTCAGCATTATTACAGGCTTTTTAGATTTTGCATCAGTTCAGCAACCCTCACAGAACATGTCAAGTGCTAAATGTTAACCCTAAAACTTCATCCAGCGTCTTGTGCTTGCTTGGAACATCCTCTGTCTTGTCAGTCAGCCTCATTGACCTTCTTATATCCATGCGCTGCTTTTATCTCCAAGACACAAAAGCCCCACAACAAAGTATATTTTTATGTGTGTATGTGTGAATTTGGTGTCAGCTGTTACAACTGTTTTCTCTCTTTCCAGACTCTTCTGGAAGTGTTTTATCTCATTCCACAGACAAACATTGGTACTCTAGTGGTCAGTATCATCACTATAACTGCCCTCAGCCTTGCCAAGGAGCTCAATGCATACTTGCATAAAAAACTGCCTGTTCCTATACCTGTGGAGCTGATCGCTGTGAGTAAACAGGGCTATAATGTACTTTAATGTACTTTATGAACAGTTAGTTTCTTACAAAAACAAACACATGCACACACTAATATATCTCTTTCCCCCAGATCATTATTGCCACAGTAGTCTCCTGGCAAGTAAACTTGAAGCAGAGCTATGGAGTGGACATAGTAGGAGAGATTCCCTCTGGGTGAGCAACACACAGAAACATACATTATGTGTGTTTTTATCCAAAAAAGTGTGGTATTGTATATGTAATGGGCAATGTACTGTACTCTGTCCTTCTGTTCTTGTCTGCCAGTCTCCAGCCACCTGTTTTCCCAGTCACCTCTCTATTTGTTCAGGTGATCGGAGATGCCTTTGCTCTGTCTGTGGTTGGTTATGGCATCACCATCTCACTGGGACGAATCTTTGCAATGAAATATGGATACAAGGTGGACAGCAACCAGGTAGGCAGGTAACAGATGGATACAAGGACAAACTGGCATCTTAATGTTAGTATTAACAGTGTGTTTTCCCTGGTTTAGGAACTATTCGCCCTTGGTCTGAGTAACTCTATCGGTGGAATTTTCCAATGTTTTGCCGTCAGCTGCTCCATGTCTCGCAGCATGGTTCAGGAGAGCACAGGAGGGAAGACACAGGTTGGTATGAGCCCAGTGTTGGAAGTTTACTTTTGAAATGTAATATGTTACAGATTACTAGTTACCCTGTTAAAAATGTAACTATTTTAATTAATTTATGAAAGCAATGTAGCAGTAATTTTAATTACTTTTCTAAAAATGTTCTAAATTGGGTAATAAAGTCAAAGGGTCCTAACATAAAATTAAACCGGTTTGATTGGACCAGGGGTCTTCTGAAGCAGCTGACAGGTACAGGCAGAACAAAATTTGGGTGTGGGGGGATTTTGGTGAGGCTATGGAGAATGACCTTTTGCTGGTCACAATGAGGGCACAAAATCCAATGACTCAGGACGTGTAATATGCTGTTGTAAAAGGCTACTTGTACCAAAAGTATTAGACTTAGGTCTTTTTATATATTATTCATATATTCAATTTGTTTCATATGTAAATGAGGTGCCGGTCACAATTTCAGAGGTGCTGGATCCGGTTTGTTCCGGCACCCCTGATTATTCTTCACAGCCATAAGGCATTTTAACAACGCTTAGAAAAATCGTCATTGGTTTCCATGCTTGGCTTTTTTTAAAACTTGACAAGGATGTTTCATAAGGTTATTTGTGTCTGTGCTGCTCATAGCTGCAACCCTGGAATATTAAAGGTAGAATTGTGTAAAAAGCTGGCCATAATTAATGCGAGTCTCTAAGTGGCATCATTAAAAAACACTTAGGGAATTGATTTTCATTCACATTATTGAACTCCGCCTACACAAACAGATCAGCTGAAAGGTTAAACCAATTTAGTCTGACAACACCATCAAACAGCTGAGGCCTGTTAGAGAGGAGAGGAGAGACTTTAACTGATGACGCCTTGACTCCTCTTATAATCACGTAGCAATTCACTCTAATAACATCATTCATCTTATGTAATACTGTAATGTAATGTTCTTGAACTCTCTTCTTCTGGTCTCCCTCTCCTGATTTTCATTCATGGTGTCTTTGTCCTCATTCGCTCTTCACTGCAGGTTGCTGGGGCTCTCTCAGCAGTAGTTATACTTTTCATCACACTTTGGATTGGGCCGTTCTTTGAAGACCTGCCCAAGGTACTGCTGTGTATGTTCTTGTTTTTATGTATTTGTGGGCATGCATGCATGTTTTTCTGTGGTTTTGTGGAAATATTTTTGTTCAAAACCATTGTTGTGAGGACATTTCAGCATTGTTGAAATAGTTGTGGCTATTTGGTGTCTCTTTGTACTTGTTCTGCAGCTCTTTTCAGTTTTACTTCTTTGTTATTTTTCTTCTCTTTTTGTTGTTATTTTGTCTGTTTTACTTGTTTTTGTCTATGAGGCTGTTGCATGTCCTTGTGCTCATTTTTCATCTCTTTTTTGGTTATGTTAGGTTTTGCATTTTTACCCACCTTTCAAACAAGAAATGTGAACAGTCACTTCATACAGCGGCTCTGGTCCAGAGGCCTCCTGATCCCCTGGGCCCCTGGGCCTGTTCAGTAATTCATTCATGGAGTGCACAATATAAACTGCTCTGTATTTGACTTTGCAGGCAGTGCTTAGCTCCATTGTTTATGTTAACCTCCATGGCATGATGAAACAATTCATGGACATCCCTGCACTCTGGAAGAGCAACAGAGTGGACATGGTGAGTGCACTTAAACGTAAAGAAATGTTAGATTCAGTAACATTTTCTTACTGGGACTCATGAACAGAGCCACCGTTAATGTTGTTAGTAACACATTTGCTTTTCCCATGTCAGAGTAGTTTAAACATATTTAGTTACACTATATTGCGGTATTGGACTATAATTAGCATTGTGTTAAAGACTCAGTGTCTTATACCCACTGGTGTGTCTCTCACTATCTTTCATCAGGTGGTCTGGTTGGGCACCTTTATTCTCACTGTGCTGTTCAACCCTGACATGGGGCTGGCTGCTTCCATTGGTTTCTCTATGCTTACTGTCATCATCAGGACACAGCTGTAAGAACACACCCACAATTATACACTAATAAAGACACAGCATTCAGTGAGAAACGTGTTAAATTGAAATTATCTGTCAACCACCGCACCCCCAACCGTTAACTACATCCTTCGCCTTTCAGATGTTACCACAACACCAAGTATTACAAATCAAAGTAATAACAATTAATGGTCTATGTTTTGTGTGAATTCCAGACCTAGATACTCTCTGTTAGGGCAGGTGCCAAACACTGACATTTACAGGCCACTGGAGGACTACAGTCAGGTAGGGCACAATAATATGATATATAATTTATAAATAACCTCAAAGCAGTTCTGAGGATCAGCACTAGTCCAGACATGACGAAAATATCCAGACCATATTTTAATGTTTAATGCAAAGCAACTCATATAAGTGAACACCACATGTAGGTTCTCTGGGGTCACCTGTCCTTCACTTTCTTTTGTCCTTGACATTATAGCCAAGTGTCAAACATAGACATGTTAATGGGAATAATGTACCACCCTGCACTTTACTTTTCAACCAATGCTCAGTCTCACTCCTGAAATGCACTCTGATTTACTGTAAAATGTTGTTGAGCTCCTTTTATTTTTATTTCAAACTTTGGCCTCAGCTGTGTCTAAGTAACGCTTCACAGAGCCACTAGCGTGACTGCAGACTCTTCTTCTTAAATTAGTAACTTGAACACTGAACTTTGGAGATGACGAATTTGCCCTTTTAATTTCTAACTTCTGACCACAAATGAATGTAGCCTTATGATACCATGTTTGCTCAAGTGTTACTTTTCTTTCAGCTGATTTGACATTGTAGATCTTTTTACTGTCATAGAGTCTTTTGTTATGGGAAACTTGGTCATTTATTTGCAAGTTTAATTGATTAACTCTTTTACTGACTGGTGGACTTTAGGTGAAGCAGGTGCCAGAGATTTTGATTTTCCGTTCCTCTGCCACCCTTTACTTTGCCAATGCTGAGATGTACCAGAATGCTCTGGGAAAGAAGGTAAGAATGCGTACGCTAATCCTTAATCTTTAGGCCAGAGACACACCAAGCAGTGAGCGTCTATCAGGGCTTGTCTTCCCGGTGCTTCCTGCATCTTTGGCACTAGCTGGACCATGTTGGCAGCTTTTTGGCTCATTTGGCGTGTTGAATCAGCCCTGGGGCCAGCCAGGGCTTGTTGGTCAAAGATACCATTCTGATTGGCTGTTCATCTTAATGAATCAATGTATGAGAAAAGAATGGTTCGGTTCCCTGCAGTACCTATGATTTCACATTTAGTTCTGTTTCTCCTTGTTTGTTTTTTTTGTTTGTTTTATTTTTGCCTCTTTAGCCTCCTTTCTTCTTCTACAACCAAAAGACCAAGGGCAGAGAACAGCAGTGTCATTTGTAACTTATCAGACATATTCTCGATTAGAAGCATCTATAAACAGCAGCTGTTTTGAACAAGAGCTGCTTTGTTCACAGCTTGTGTTTCCACTATCTATGTTTTCGTTTTTCCCTTTCTAAATGGAAAATACAGATACTGCCACCTGCTGGTAGGAGGAGTTATTTATCTCATGCTGGTGCAGCATGTACGTGATAGTTGGCCGTTGACTGTGGACTGTGCAGTGTATTCGAGTGCCACTTTTTCAACCCAACTGGCCCAGACAAAGGTGATATGAGGCCATGCAGCAGTCGACCTTCGTCTGTGCTAGTTCTTTCATGTTGACTTGGTGTGTCTCTGCCCTTAAACTTAACCTAACCTTAACCCTAAAATCGGGTCTTGTGCTGTAACAGGTTTTTATGTAAGTGAAAACTGACAAAATGTCTTTCCAACAATGTCCTCACTCTCAAGGTCAAAAAATTGAAGTCATCCTGTCAAAGATAATGCACACGCAGAAATATTAATGTTGGACACACAAGCCCCCATTTATATCAACAATACCAATATAAACACGTCACAGTTACACACAAACACACTGACAGAGGAAAAGAAATGAATGGCTCCAGCTTTGTCACAATTTTCTTACAAGCATCAATTCTGACACACTAATAACTGACCTAACATTTCACCAATTCACACGTCACGACTGTGACAAACATTGTTCAAATGTCATCCTACCATTTTCTTCTCTTTTCTTCTGTTCATCTTGTGTTTAAACACCACCCCACCCCTCCATCCTTCCCCCTTTCCTTTGCCTGCTCTTCTGTCATCTCTTTTTGGGGTAAATGGGAAGATGAATTGAGAGAAGGCAGAAAAAAGAAGACAAAAGATGGAGCGAGGGGAAGAAGCAGAACTTGAATAAGGGAGGAAGATAATGGAAAGTCTCATTCATTGAAATGTCAGTGTTTCAAAGCCTGAGGGTTGCTCCTTTATTTCTAATCTTTGGTGCACAAATAAGCCTCCATAGAGCTGTTGTTGACTGACAGAGGCTTCAGGTTTGTTTGCACGGTAAGAAACTGCCACCAGACAAACTCTGGTAAATTATGGATCTGGATGATAAGTGTTTCTGTCCAACCAGTCAGTGTGATGTGCTGACAACTCAGCTAGTGAAAGGTGCAGGGGAAGTTTGCTGCTTGTTCTTACTGGCAGCACCTAAGCTGTTGGGTTGCACTTATGAAAGGGGACGCTAAGTGTTGTAAATGCATCAACTAGTGATGTCATGCAGCAAGAGAAGATTGTAGAGGCCAATCATATAGTATTTTTGAGTGAATCCTCTTTCCTGTGAGACTATTACATTGTCTCCATGAGCTAATGTGTCCTGCAAACTTGTAAGCGTTGCTTTCAAGATGCTAATTGCTTTCAATTTAGTTTTAGAGCAATAGGAAGGCTTGAATGGCTGTAATTACATTCTGATCTACTTTGCAATTACCAGGCAGACATTTCATTCGTGGGATGGAAAACACAAAAACAAACAATAAAAACCTGATTGGCTATTGATGACTGATGACCATGAAAGATTTTCTGGGCATTTCCATTTCCTGGTTGCACGGCTCATTAGTCCTTGTTCATTGCAAATGGTGTTTTGAACACACTCGGTATCAAAACTACTTTATAAGAAGATGAAGGTGATTTAAATACAAATGGGCTCATTGAACGAATGCTTAATTTTCAATCTTTCAAAAAGAGTTCAGCTACAGTAACTTAGCTTAGATCACATTTTTATCATTACTATAGCTATTAAAGATTTCAGTGTTTGTGTCATGTACGTATATTTTAACATCATTAAAGTCAGACAGCACAAGGGCTCACAGAATAGTACTCTGTCATCCCAGTGGAAAAATATCTCTTCTTTACTGAGCCACCAAAGTGACATGCTTTTGTGTGTAGGGACTGGTTAGTTGGTTGGTTGAAATCACCTGTTTTGGAGGAACAGGTTTTCAGTTGCAGACTGTTTCTGCTGCACGGCTCCTTGTGGCAGCTAAACAAAAACCAAGAATATTAACTGACTTTAATGAAAAAGTTAGCTCATTTTTCAAAATCTCTCTCTAAACACAAGTCCATATGCACAATGAAACAGATTTTGTTTGCCATTATCATTCCTCTTGTTCATGCCAGCCATTAAATCTCTTCCTATGGTGAATTCAAGGTAAGTTATGGGTCAAAATCTACTGTTCTCCTTCTATGCAAAAACATATGCAGAGATTTATCTGTAGATAATATAGAGATTCAACTGTCTGAGTGGGTCCAATTAAGTGGATCACTTCTAAGGTTATATCAAAATAGGTTAACAGGTTGTTAAAGATACAAACCATTAACATTTAGATAAAAAAGCTGGACATACAAACCAGTTTTTGCTCTTGTGTCAACAAAAGTGAGCGGGGCCAGTCAGCCTAGAGTTTGAGAAAATTCAAACTTGTGTTCTTTAGTTGTGCAATGCAAGGAAACTAACCTTTATGGTTCATTGTATGTTTATTTTATACCAGAGCCCTCAAGCAAAAGCATAAAGTTCCCTGCACATGTAAGACTCTCCTGTAAGTGGCTCTCCTCTAATGCCCCGTGGCTGCATCCCCTGCAGGTGCAACTCCTTTAGACTGCTACCTGCTACACCGGCTTTGCTGGTTTATATTTGTTTTTGTGTTGAGTAATTAATTGAGTAAACTGGATATTAGCAGTGGTTAGTATGAGCAGCCATAAAGCAGAACTTGTCTGGATGTAGAAAATGAATGTGAATTTAGTTGTTAATGTGTATTATTATTATCTTCCGCTGTTTCTCTAAGTCTGGCATTGACATTACCAAGATTCTATCGGCAAAGAAGAAACTAGAGGCCAAAAGGAAGAAGCATGAGAAGAAAAATGCCAAGAAAGCAGCCAAGCAGAATGCAGTGAATATGGTGAGGAAGATCAGAGGCCTCATAGTTAACTGATGCAAAAGGACGTTTTTATTAATATTTTTCCATATTTGTGAACACCTAAGTTAGTAATGTTGACACTATTCAAATGTCTTCCTGGTCCTGTAAGCACCGTGGGTGTCTGTCTTCTCCTGTCTAGGAGGGGGAGCCAGAGAGGGAAGAGCAGAATAATGTTGCTATCATTGAAGTGGATCTAAAGCCCAATCCCTCATTCCCAAGAGCCATTGTCCTTGACCTCAGCCCTGTCAACTTCCTGGATACTGTGGGAGTCAAGACCCTATGCAACGTATGAACATAACGGTCACATATACAAATCTTCATTGTACAAATTTCTTCCTGTTAACTTTTATAACTCTGCCTCCAACCACTAGAATCTACCCTCCATTCATCGCTCTCACCATTTCTTATCTTTTAGGTCCCCAAGCTTTCAATTACTGTAAATTGAATTGGCAGACTAATTAAATGATCCCCTGATTGACCTTTGTTCTGTGTTTGTGTGTTTCAGATCCGGAGAGACTACGGGGAAGTTGGTATAGAGGTGGTTCTTGCTGGCTGCCAAAGTAAGTCCATCTACATCACTAGTATAGAATTGAATAGAATTTCTGCCAAACATCTGAGTGGATTTTGTGCAAGTTAAACTTTCAAACTCATTTTTCAAAATAAATTTAATCAGAAAAGTAACTAAATCCATGGAGCTAAACAACCGTTTACAGTTGTGTGTACAACCACAACTCTGCTATCTGTATATATTATTGTTGAGAAGAATTTTTTAAATCTGTGGGTTGATTCTCTTGACCTCCCTTTGCCTTTCTATTATAAAATAGATTTTTTTATCAACCTGAGTTGAACTTTTTCCACTGTAGATGTTAGTGATCCCCTGCCTGTTTGTCTGAAATACCTTTTTTTAAGTCCCACAATGATGTATTGTTACATCCATGTCCAGACCTGCTTACTCACAAAAATTTTGACCTCCTTCTACAACACTGGGTGTTATTTTAGCTGTTTTTTAATGTTATTGTAAAGTCTATGTGAAGGAAGTACTGTTCCAGGTTTTCAGGCATGAGATACAGTAGTGGGTGATGAGAAGAATATGAGTCTGAAGGAAAGCCAAGAAAAAGTCTGAAGTCTGGTAGGCTGGTTGTATTTTTACTGAAATAAAGAAACTAGTTTTCTGTGTTTATTTTTACATAATAACCCACAAATTTAGGTCTGACTTGCTGGGTGAGAAAAAATGTGGATCTCAGGGGAAAAAAGTCTTCAGACCACAACAGAAGGAGCCATCCGGTTTATTTCAAAGGATCAGCAGCTCTAATTAGCCTGTAGGGCTGATATCCTGTAATGAGGAAAGTAGTTTGTGCGTCCTGTTCAGGACTGCTAAGATTATATCTGTAGCCATAACGAGATTCAGTTAACACAAGGAATACCCTCCTGTACAGTTTTCTCTTTATCTCTCTTATTTACTTCCATTTGATTTCTTTTACAATACTTCAAACATTACACTTTATTCTCCTCTATCTCTCAAGTTCTCCTTTTTGAATTATATTTCTTGTCCTTGTACACTGACACACATTGTTTCCTCCTAGCTCCATACAGCTTTTCATACAAAACTCTGCCTGTGTATCCATTGTTCTCTCTCTTTCTGTCTCTCTATCTAGCTGGTGTGGTGGACAACCTGCAGACTGGAGGTTTCCTTAATAACAAAGTGACCAAGTCCTGTCTCTTCTCCACTGTCCATGATGCAGTTTTGCACTGTCAGTCCAATAGACCAAACAACCACAAGAAGGTGATGTACTGTATGAGCACTCACGTGTACTCAGATATGTCCATTTACATTTTGCTACAAAACAGTAACAAAGTGTGCAACAAGTCACAAAACATTTTCCCAGGCTGTATTTGCAATTGAAAATTTATTTCTAGTGATATGTGTCTCAGCACAGTAACACAGGGATCTTCTAGGTAATTCTAAATCACAGGTATATGACTGTTTTTTTTTATTTTTATAAATGCTTTACTTCTTTTGTGGGTTTGGCACACCATGGGGCCCAAAGCATACAGTAGAGTGTCATGAGCTGATACAATAGAAAATATGGCATTCAGAGGCTAAAGCAGAGCTCTTTCATATTAAGATCTTTTTCTGCAATAAGGAACAAAATACTGCACCATACAGTATTTGCTGAGTGAACTTAAAAAGCTATAAAACCTGTCTATCCTACAATTAGTGGCTACAGGATTTCAACAGTTTGTAACTTATGCTTATAAGCTTTCTTACTGAAAGTTGGATGAAAAGATCAGTCTCGTACTCATAGCTGTTTGTTAACTACAAAGTTGGAGCCAAGAGATGATTAGCTTAGCATCAACTTTGTTGCCTAGCAAACTCACAGAATAGTAGGCACATAATCCCTCAGAAAAAAACACAGCATGTTGTTCTATGCTTCAGTTTTTTGTACAACTTTAACAAGGTGTAATATGTTGACTGGTGAGCTTTTCTACTGTAGTACTGTAGGATTTCATCACTTTTAGACGATGCCAGCTGTTTCCCTTTGCTCCCAGTCATTATGTGAAGTTAAGCTAAGCTAATTCTTTCCTTTCTGCAGCATCATATTTAACACACACGCTTAAGCTCAGTAATTTGATGTTTCTTACTGCAATTCTTCCTCAAACTCATAATTGTTTTCTTACACACAGTCTTGAATCACATACTTGGTTTCAGTCATTTTGCTAAAAATGTATGTAGCCTAAGTAAAACTGTGTTCATTAGCAACAGCATCTGCACATATTCCACTCTACCACTTAACCTTGTCACTCTTAGATGATAAGAAATTAGAAGCATCATGTTTCTAGTTAATCCACCTCACCCCCAACAAGAGACTGTAAGGTCACTCAGCAGCCTGGAGTGTGGGGGTGATGTATGAAGCTAGTTTTAGTGGACAATGATTAAAATACTATTCCTGAAATGATTCATTGATCCCTACTCTGCAGCACAAACTGGACTGTAAATTGATTGCACAGATTGTTGGAGTTGTGACTGGGAATGGTATTTAGTGTTACAGTAAAATACAAAATAGCATTTATTTTATTTTATTTTAATCGAAACCTCGTCTTTTTCATTAAATACAAATACCTAAGCAGTGTTTTGTATTTCATATGGATCAGAAATATTGCAAAGTCCTTCTCATCCCAACACAGCAGCAGCAGTCTCTGTCTGGAGGTAAATCACTTGCTGCTTTGTCACTTGAGCCGTATGTGTGTGTGTGTGTGTCTATGTGTTAATCTCATACCTGTGCTTGCAAGCATATCTGGATATTGTTCATTGTTTGTACTTTTGTTTCCGGCTGTTCTGTTTTGGTATTTAGCCGGGCATGTGACTTTAAGTTTTAGCTCCCGTAGGAGAAATCTAACAAAGAACAAAGACTTGGCACCTGTCCATGAAATACAAGTTACAAGAGTGAAATCTTTTCATGGGAGAAATAGAGCGCTCTCCCTCTCTTGTTCCCACACACACACGAATACTGTGTTTCCATCACGTCAAGGGACAATTACAGTGACTTGTATTCATTTCCTGGAGACTTACCATAACCCTAAACCAAGGCATCACTCCAAATATCCTGGTCCTGAGTGACTAATTTCATTCATCATGTGTTAAACGTGCAGAATGACAATAAAGGAACCTTGAAAATGTAATGATTTACATTTTGGGGCGTTGCTTTTTGTTCCTGTAAGGACGTTGAGTCCCCACAGTGTGATTGTTTAAACAGGTGTATGTCCCCACAACATGATGAGTAACACCACACCATGCACACAAAAAACATGTATGCAAAAAATATATATGATATAAGAAAGTGGATGGTGAGAGGAGCATGAGATTGGTCAGGGGACATATACTGTAGTCACATGCAGGCATGAGCAGGCATGATGCAGGCCACACTGTATTGGAGAGATTTTCAAAGTGATTGTAGGAGGAAGAAGAAGTCAAACAAATACATGGTACATCTTGGTTTGAGCTCTGTCTGACCTACAGTGTCTCTCTTGTTCATTTATTTTAAATCACTTCATCAAAGTAAACCTTAGTGAAACAAATGAAAGACAGCGTTGCAGAAGCAATTTATTATAAGAACTAGATTTGTGTATTCTTTTTAGAAGTCCACCAAAAATTATTGTAGAGGGCCGTGTGGTGCAAAGTGAAGACATCAGATTTAAAACCGCTTGAATCAGAACTACATAAACCATTATTTTTGAGACTGTGACACGTTGAGACAAGGCTTCAGACAACGCTGTTCCTCCCCATTAACCTCTGATGAGATTTTGAGATCTTGCTATAGAGAAAATGCAAATCTTTAACGTATTACATAAATGAGGCTAGAATTTTTCTCTTCCCATCTTTGTCCCACTTGGGGTCTGTCATTTTTATCTCTCTCATTCTTCTTCTTTGTCTTGATCTCTCCTGTGCTTCTGTTTCACAGGACATCACAGCAACACATTTCTGAGTCCTGAAGGGAGTGACGGAGGAAGTGACAGACACAGTTTGCATGAGGGATGCATCCTCTGAGATAACTGGGACTCCCGTCTGTCACAAGCATGCACGCACACACACATACACAAACAGTAACAAACACAATATAGTAGAAGATAAGAATGATGGCAAAAACAAAATGGAAATGAATGACAGTAGGAACAGTCTGTGCTAGAGGAGTGTACAAAACAAAACAAAAACACAAATGCACATATTACTTCATGTGATAAACAAAACTATGGGTACTTGCAGTTATAGTATGTTAAATTTGATTTGTGTTCTTCTTTGTCCAACTTTGCAAGACATTTAAAAAGAACTAAGTAATTACGTTGCCTTTTAAATCACTAGCACACACCAACTGCAAATGTGTATTAATATGAAAATCTAAATGTTGGCCAATGTTCATGTACTTACTTGTAAAATAAATATTATCTAGTCACATGCTTCTCTTGTACATTTCTTTTGTAAACTCATAGCTTTGATTTAAAGCATTTTGATCTGGTTACTCAACAACAGAAAACACCTCTGATAAGATCTCGATCAATGAAACTGATGCCTCAGATATGGGTGCTGGGTGTCCTCCGTTCTGGACTTACAAATATTGATGGGTTCAATCACACTCAGACTCTACATTATATAACTAGAGGTATGTTCACTGACTCTGTTTGGATAAAGAGCTGTTCTCTGGGGCATTTTCAGTTTTTCTGCTACATGTTACATGCTTATAGTAATTCAAGCACAGATAATATAACTTTATGAAGTTCCTACATTATATGGCACTCCACCATGTCCTCTTGCATATGGAGAATTACATTCAATCCATCAGCAGTGTCTGGCTTGTTACTTTAAAAATGTAATATTACTCATTAAAGTTAGTCTTTTCAAAATTCATATTACTACTTATTACCCCCTGACAAATAACTCATTATAATATTCATTACATTACTTTTGCCTTACACCCCGCAGATCAGTAATTACATCCTTTCTCCTCAAAATGCGCCCCCTAGCGGTGAGAATGTTAGGGCAATCACATGTAAGAGCATTTTTCCTGAAGCCTATGAATCCATAAAAATTCATAGATAGAAAATCACACCACCTACTGTATTTCCAGTCACTGACCGTAGGATCTTCCATCTCCTCAGCTAGCTTCGTGCTTATGATGAGGCCTAGTGACATGTGCAGGCATGGAGACTACAAATAAGAAATGTCAGATTTCAAATCAATCTTCACATTGTGACAATGAAAGCAATGTTGTAATTAGTTGTTTTTGGAGAGAGTAACTAATATTACTGCAATCCTATTTGTAACTTTTTCACTACTCGTTACTGGGAAAAGTAATATTATTACAGAAACACATTATGGCCCAACACTGTAAGTCACTGTTGTGCTAACACCTGGTTTTGGTGCCCCCAAGTGGCCAAAAATCAAGTAATGCTTCTTTAACCGAACAGTTTAACTCTAAATCTAAAATGAATAGATGTGGCAGATGTGAAAACGGGCGCAGTAACCATTTGTGTATTGTACTGTTTGTAAAGGAAAGCAATGTCCTGCTAGCAGTCAAACTAAATCAGAAAATAGGAGTCATTCTGGAAGACAAGTCCGTTCGTCTGGAGACATTTTTACTGTAGGAGGAAGCTTTACAATAAATAAGAAGAGAGCGGCCTGCCCACAAATTATACTAATAATAAATACAACCATTAGGTCTGATATGTAGGTTACAAAATGTTAACTGAACGAACTCAACTCAAGGAAGAGAGGTTGTGTGTATCTGGGTGTGTGAGAGAGAGAGAGGTTGTGTGTAGAGAGAGAGAGAGAGGTTGTGTGTATCTGGGTGTGTGAGAGAGAGAGAGAGGGTGTGTGTGTGTGTGTGTGTGTGTGAATACTTTAGTTTCTCTAACGTCGCTGACTGCATTCTTCTCTTGGAGGGTGACGAGTGCAGAGCATAAGAGAGAGAGAGAAAGAGGCTGGAGAGCCCAAGAAGAAGCTGAAACTTCACTGCAGACACGTCCTGTGTAGGTTGGTGCAGCCGATATTATTATGATACTTCTGGTTAAGGCTACTTACAATGCGTTCTACTCCAGAGTATATCATCTCCGTTAATCATACTCCTTTAGGTTTTGGATATAACCAATAGAACTTGTAGTTTTGCACTTATATTTGCGCAAATGCAGCATCAGCCCTGGCTTCCACCATTCATCTTTTTCATATAAAAGCCGGAGACCGTAATATTGATGTTATACTGTAGCGTGTATTCCACTACTACGGGCACTGGCATCGATATCAGGGACTAAACCAAACCAAATCTTTACGAGGCTATGTCAGTTTGATTAGAGACACCTGCATTGCAATCGCCTGCGCTTTCTCTGGGAGCATACAACCCACATCATCCAAATTATGTGGAGTCCTTCCCTGTGCGTGGACGTGGAAGTGTTAGATTGCAGCGGAGATTAAAACAAAAGAGCGGGTTTTGCACACATTTGTCATGGGAACAGTTTCCAAAAACGATGCATTTACACGTAGGATACAAGTTCAGTGATCGCTATGATTTCCACATGTGATGCACATGCTTCACTGTTTTTCAGTTATCCAAACGAGCTATATTTCTCGCACAAAATGGGCTGTAAACACAAATGAAATTGTGACGGGTAAATATCAATCAAAAACTAGTGTGACCGTATTTCGATGTCCGGGTTGTTGAGATTGAAATTCAGAACAGGCTATGTGTTTCCATATTCCCATCAACAATATTGCCTAACTAGAGACCAGTCCGGTCACCTAACCTAAAAGACGACACCCGATCACCCGGAAATATAACCTGCCACACCAGGACTGTAATCCTGGGTGGAGTGGTTGGCGGTGCACAAACTGTCCCCTTCGTTGTAATGCTGGGCTTGTAGATATGCTGTGCATGCAGCAGGACCGGGGTGGCAGTTTTTGGGTGGGGGGGACGAGGAGGGGGGGGGGGGGCAATGTTGCTTCTTCTTCTTTCTTTTTTTTTTTTTGCTTTTGTGTGTGCGTGCGCGCGCGCCTGTGTGTGCAGCTTTGCAAGGTTGACACGGGAATAAACAGACAACACTGGAGGACTGGCAGTGACATCGTTAGTAAGTCGGCTCAGTGTGTAAGTGTGTTGCACCGGACAGACGTGCGCTCTTGTGTCAGTGAGAAAGCTTTTTAGCTCCATGAAGGTCATAAGGCTGAGTTTTTGTTGAATTTTTTAAAAAGAGCGCTTGATTCAACTGTATGGTCATTTTGAAGCTGCACTTTGTGCTGCTATTGAACTGTACAGCATTATACAGAGAGATGTTTCTGCTATTTATCCTAGACTCATTAATATAAATAACTCACAAAAACACTATTAGGTTTAGATAAGTGTAACTGCAAACTGCGTGTATATAATAATGAAATAAACTATTAGACAATGAATACAATACGTAAAAGAGCTTAATCCAATCTTCCTGTTATTGATGAATAGTATTTCGATTCAATTGGTAAGGGATATCCCATTTTATAATATATTATTATATTTTGTTCCACAGTAAGGCTACTTACATCCTTATAAGCATCATATTGGCAGTACTACACTCATACCTGCCATAAATATACAGTAGTAGATTGATAGAGAGAGAGACTTTGGGGAAAGCAGAGCATATGTCTCATGACGTAACACCGCTTTGCCAACGTTGCCTCTGTGTGTGCGCGCGCGTGTGTGTTTCCTGTGTGTTCAGCTCACGATTTTATCCAGCATTAATCTGTCAAACCCGCAGACCTTGTCATCTCGGATGCGTGTCTAAAAATAAACAAGAACAATAAACAATGAACGCGGTGACCGTCGCCACCTGCCTGCTCGTCGCCGGCTTCAGCTGCTACCTCTACGGCAGCGACATGTTCTTATCGCTGCTCCGTGTCTCTGTTTCAGACCCCTCCATGCCCGCGCCGGGAGCTGCTCCGCGGCGCAGCCCGCAGGGAGTCCCCTACGCCGCCCTGCCGCACATCGTCAACGCCGACGGACTGTACCTGTTCTGCCGCTACTGGGAGCCCGCAGGCCCGCCAAGGTCGGTGTCTGTTTCACTGTATCTGCCCTTCTCTGCGTGTAACCTACCCCTTTTGGATGGAAAAGCCCGTATATGAATCTCTTTCAAATGCTGTTAAAATACTTGTTCTGTGCTGCTGGGGAAAGTAATCCACTTCACATGGCTGTTTTCAGTCTTGGAGTCACATGAGGGCTCTTATGGGGTCCTGTATGTTCATTTTTACACATGTGTGTGTGTGTGTGTGTGTGTGTGTGTGTGTGTGTGTGTGTGTGTGTGCAGTCCAGGACCCAACTGTAATAAAAAAACACACAGCTGGGTGGAAATGTGTCTCTGACAGTATAAAACCAACACCTGCGCTACCGTAGCCCTGAGCTCAAATCTAGAAATTGACAACACAAATAGACACAAAGCAAATTAAGCAAACACTTTGACAACACAGGTGCAGCAGTTACACAACAAGGTCTGAATGCAATGATGATGGTTAAAGAATGGGGAAAAAAAACCCAAACTCAGCAGTCCACCTCAGTCACTTCATTGGTCCCCATGGCAACTACAAGCTGTTCCACCTGTGTTCATCACTTTTTAGTGTCCCCTAGAAACATCTCCAAACATTTATACTCTGTGCTATTCGCAGCGGTTTACTATTTGGTTGTGTTTAAAGTATTAGCAGACCTTTTTTAAAACTTGTATTTGACCAGAAAGTCCAGTTGACATTTCAAATATCTTTTACAAGGCATACTTTCTATGTTGGCTTGTGTATTCTCTATCTGACATTATGTGAGCTAATGTTTTTATTGGAATATTATTTTTAAGTGGCCACCCAGCAGTTATATTAGCTCTGCGGCTGGCATACCAACTCTCCAGTTAGCACTCCTCACCCTCCATATTATTACAGTAAAATCCACCCACTAGGAAATGTGATTTTTTTTTTTCATTTATTTGTCATTTTAATCTTCACATGAGGGGTTGTTGACTGTTTAAAGCTCTACGAGCTGCAGAAGTATGGTGCATATGCCAACACATCATCTTTACACAGAGGGATCTCGTTAAAAATATAAGTCGGTTAATCTTCTTAGAGTGGCCACTACCAGATGCACCAGTGACTCATATTTGGTTGTGACCCCGTTTAAAATCAAATCAGAAACAAAATACAGGAGCAGTTACTTATTCAGCCTGCTAAACAAATTAAAGTTTAATATTCTGTTAATGTCTTTGTGTTGAGTTGTTATACACTGCCTGGTTGCCCATAAAGTCATTTAAAGTAGAGCCAGTGACACATTTCCTACAATGTTCGTATATTCAACTGCACCAAAATCAACAGCATAAAAGCACAATAGTCCAAACCTCATTTCAGTATATGCTTTGCATAGATTCAGATACAGTCCAAAACAGATTTGACTGGGTTTGAGAAGCACACAAACAGAAAAAATCGTATATCAGTGCAGACTAGAGATGCACCAATTACAATTCTCATGGCCAATTCCCGTTTCTGATTATTTATTTATTTTGTCTGACCTGCTGATTCTGATTTCATTTCTTTCTAAGAACTGGAACTGACAGGCTATAAAACAAAATTTTGTAACTTTTCTTTAATGAAAAATTTAATTGTAATAAAATTGTAACAGGCGCGGTGGTTAGCACTGTCACCTCACAGCAAGAAGGTTCCGGGTTCAAGCCCCGGCCAACCCAGGGCCTTTCTGTGTGTGGTTGGCATGTTCTCCCCATGCTTGCGTGGGTTCTCTTCGGGTACTCTGGCTTCCTCCCACAGTCCAAAGACATGCAGCTTAGGTTGACTGGCTGATAGGAGTGAGTGTGAGTGTGAGTGTGTTTGGTTGTTTGTCTACCCCGCCTCTCATCCAGTGTCAGCTGGGATAGGATCCAGCAGCGACCCTATTCAGGAATAAGCGGTATAGATAAAGGATGGATGGATAAAAATGACATACTGTAGCCTATTAAATAAGCTTTACATGTTCCATCTTTCTCTCTCTCTCTCTCTCTCTCTCTCTCTTTTCTTTCTTTTTTCTTTTTTTTACAAACCTCCAACTGAAAATGAAGTGCCGTATCTGTACTTCTCCAAATATTACCAGGTGCAACAGGTAATAAAACTAGAAAAACATTTGTTAGTATCACTGTAAGTTTGTATTTGCTGTGTTTTACCATGGGTTGGTTACACTGTATATGCACATGCATTTGAAGTGTACTGTAGCAGTAATTCCCTCATGGTGTATTAATTGTCAGAGATTTGGACATAGTTTTCCTTTCTCCAAGGTGTTTCTGTGGGCTCCTTTGTGAATTTTTTGTACACCAAGTACTTCCACTGTCTGAGAGAATACATGGTCGGTATAAACACAAGTGTGAGCCTCAAACGAGGTGCACACGAGATATTATGTGCTTCACATGCTATGCTTTCAGTCACTATGTGTGTGACATGGACCATAGTGCATGACTGGTAGAGTGATCAGCCAAACAGTGGTCATGGCGGATCAAGCTAAAAACCAACCATTTCCAGTACCCAGCTGATTGATCGGTGCATCTTTAGTACAGACTAGTGTTCCCCTCTTATTTTGAAAACCCCAACCTGTGTCTAGAGGTTATTTCTTGTACTTTAGTTTATTGGGATTATATTGTCAACCCTAATCAACAGCATCAAAGCTCATTTGCAAAAATCCTGAGATCCTGACTCATCGGGCATTCTGGTGTGTGAAAGAGTGGTAATGGCGCTGTTGTGACTTAGCCAAAAAGACATCAAACAACACAAATAGTTGATTAAAGGGTCCAGTGTACTGAAAAACCACTAGTGACTGGGTTAATACTTTCCACAGCCTGCTGCTGGAGGCAGCCTTGGTACGCGCTGTCAGCTGTTATAAGTCTGGCTCCTCTCTAACACATGGTTGTGTCAGTGCATGAAACTGAACACAGATGACACGTACACTGACTTATATGCTATAGTTCCACAGGCAGAGATGTGACAGAGATCGGAGGCCCACAAAACATCTGGAGCTCAGCTAATACTTATCACACACTCAGAAGGCTCACACATCTCAGTGCAGCAGTGACTCAGTAACTGACACTGTGTCTCTGTCTCTGCTGTGTAATTGCTCCATAAACCATGGCTCGCGGTTCTCAGTAGCGTGTGTGCATTTGTGTGTTTATTCTATAGTCATCCTGATTTATCTTGTATTTGTACACGTGAGCGCTCGCATACATGTGTGTAGATATTTGTGTTAATACGTGGGATTGTTGTTTGGTAAAATCTGTCCAAGAGCCCTGGAAATACTTTAACATGGCTCCTGCACTTTCAAAAACATCAATAAACCAAACAACCAATGCAAATCATTCTTGTCTTGTAAATCACATATTTTAGAAGTAAAGAAAAAGCTAAATCACTTCTGGCTTAAAATAGCTGCACATCTTTCTGTGTTGTGACAGTTTTAGAGCTGAAGATTTGGAAGGCTTATGTAAGAGCTTTCTCACTGGAGGCCTGCCACTGACCATGCTAAAAATGCATGCAGATATGACACAAAGACAGCAGTCCATGTAATGTTGGGTATTGTGATGTGTATATGGACGACCAGTATGTTTTTGAAAGCTGATACCAATATTTGTGTAACTATTGTCTGTTGTTTAGTGTGCAGGTATGCAAATTCTATATTTTTGTTTACACACCATAGTGAAAAAGCCCCAGAGGCTTTTCACAGAACTCTTAAATTTTCCACTGAAACCTAGACTAAAGGAATTGCTTTGGCTGACTTAGCGGCTCCTGAAGATTGGTTGAGGTCAGATTTTTGCAGGTTTTATAGGCTGGCAAAACGGAAGCTATTCAGTAAAATCACATCCTCATCTCCTTCATAATGTAGGGGGCTTATATTGACTCTTATGTGATGCCAGTATTAGACCAGTATTGGTTTTAATTTGCTGTCTTTTTGTCTGACATATCAGGGTGTAACTGCTGTGAGTTTGGAGGGACATCTTCTGACTACACTGCCATCTAAATTTCTTAATGCAAAATTATATACAGAATGGTGTTAAAGTGTAAAAGTGCTGTACACAAATCAGGGCATTTCAGTCCCTTTGCACGACCTGCACTGAAGAAATTCAACGATACACACCTCCTGTTATAACTGATGTTTCACAATAAACGAGTGCTCTGTGGTCTCTGGATCATCTTCCAGACTCGCAGCAGTCAGATTAATAATTTAACACAAAGTGACACACCGTGTCAGAACCAAATTTATGAAATTCCCATCAAGTTCAGTAGATGCAGCTTAGCCAGAAGCCTATGTAATATGTAGGTTAAAAAGTTGTCTTTACATTGCTTGTTCATGTCCAGAATGCAAAGATTTTCACTGTCACATAAGAAAAGCAGCACAGCCTCACATTTGCTCCAGCTTGTGAAGGTTGGGTGGTTTTCCTTGGAAATGGCTTAAATGATGTATCAGTCATTAACAAAAGTTGCAGATGATTCACTGTCATTGTTAGCTTGACTTAAAGTTGTGATGTGTTCACATAATGACAGGCAGTGCTTTGTCGGGCCTGCGTTCACTTACTCAACTACCTTCACCAAGGCCAGACAGCTTATTGCACAGAGGCTTTGTTTTTCAGAAAAGCAGAAATTAAGAAGGTTGTTTGATATTAAATCTCACACTGGGAACTACCCGTGCTGTGTTCAGTGTGTTCTTTGTGTAAAACCAGGGTGTTTGAGAGGCCTTGGAAGGCTAACATTAGTATGTGGCAATCACTAATAATGATCAAATTATTATGATTTCAGCAGAAATCCACCTAGAAACCCTTTCAAATCCCTTACTGAATCTGATTTATAAAAAAATATAAATATGCATGTGTTCATTTAGCACTTTTCAGGGAACTCAAAGACACTTAAGAAGTTTGTTAGTATGAAAAGATGTATTTTAATTCCATGCACTACAGCAGCAAAACAACTTTAAACAATTTTTTGGAACAAGCAGTGTAATATTTATGAATCTAGTATATTCTAACCACAACTGGTTGTTGTAATTGTGATT